CTTTACAAGAGAAATAAACCATTCTTGAATTGTTTGATTGCCTTTGATGAAAAATCTGTATTATACGATAAATATAGACCAGGAAAGTGGTTGGATGAAATAATATAATCTACATTAAAAAAATCAAAGAATAGACAAAAAAGAAAAAATCGAAAATAAAACCTCTAATTGGAAATCATAAGTTCTTTCCAAGAGTAGTACATGAGGACTTAAAAAAAGAGACAGACAAAAAAAAAAAGCAAAAATAAATACCTCTAATTGGAAATCAAAAGTTCTTTCCAAGGGTAGTGAACCTAAGTACAATAAACAAAGTCAAAGAAGAGACAGAAAAGAAAAAGCAAAAATACTGGAGTACAGTAAAAAATCAAAGAATAGACAAAAAAGAAAAAGCAAAAATAAATATCTCTATTAGGAAATCATAAGATGTTTTCAAGGGTAGTACATGAGTACAGTAAAAACAGTCATAAAAGAGACAGAAAAGAAAAAGCAAAAATAAATACCTCTAATTGGAAATCAAAAGTTCTTTCCAAGGGTAGGAAACCATTTTACAGTAAAAAACGTCACAGAAAAGACAGAAAAGAAAAAGCAAAAATAAATACCTCTAATAGGGAATCTACGATCTTTCCAAGGGTAGTACTTGAGTACAGTAAAAAAATCAAAGAATAGACAAAAAAGAAAAAATCAAAAATAAAACCTCTAATTGGAAATCATAAGTTCTTTCCAAGAGTAGTACACGAGGACGTAAAAAAAAGAGACAGACAAAAAAAAGCAAAAATAAATACCTCTAATTGGAAATCAAAAGTTCTTTCCAAGGGTAGTGAACCTAAGTACAATAAACCAAGTCAAAGAAGATACAGAAAAGAAAAAGGAAAAATACTGGAGTACAGTAAAAAATCAAAGAATAGACAAAAAAGAAAAACCAAAAATAAATATCTCTATTAGGAAATCATAAGATGTTTCCAAGGGTAGTACATGAGTATAGTAAAAACAGTCATAAAAGAGACAGACAAGAAAAAGCAAATATAAATATCTCTAATAGGATATCAAAAGGTCTTTCCAAGGGTAGTACATGAGTACAGTAAAAACAGTCATAAAAGAGACAGACAAGAAAAAGCAAATATAAATATCTCTAATAGGAAATCAAAACTTTTTTTCAAGGGTAGTACGGTATAAAAAGTCATAAAAGTGACAGACAAGAAAAAGGAAAAATAAATACCTCTAATAGGAAAAGTTCTTCCCATCAACGTAAGTACAGTAAAAAAAATATTTGCTGGAACTAAAAGCGATTTTAAATTTACCTAAAAAATAATATTTAATGAGGTTTCATGGGAAAGAGGTAGAAACTTACAATAAAATATATTGGGCCTGGAAATGCAAAAATCCTGAATATATGTATCTTAGCTCCTGTTTGTCATATATATTGAAAAGAAGATTATGAGGAAGTTGTACAGGATGTAATAAGGATGAAGAAGCTTAGCATATGGCCAAACCAAGCCAACATCCAAAAACTGAGATTACAGCCGATAAAGATTAGAAAAGTAAACACAGCTCACTGTAATATGCTAACGCGGCTGAGGTCGAAGCCTGACAATGGTAAACTATGCTAATAGAGCCGAGAATAATGATAATCCAAGGCACAGGCGTCATGCAAACGAGGAAAAAATTGTCTCTCCATAAAGGGCCGGGTCAGGCCGAGATTATATCTCGCCCAAATGACGGCCAGGTAAAAAATCCCGGAATGCATCGGCTGGTGTCGAAACGGCCTTCTCCAGGCTACAAATCGTCCCGGCCGGAAATTGCTTCCTCATAAGGTGAGATACGGCGATTAAAATGAAAAAGAGGATACGGAGTAAGAAACACGTCCATATGGCAAAAAATGTTTCTGTTTCAATTGGAAGGGTTTTAACGAGTGCTGCTTGGAATGAAGTCATAAAATATATGTTCAGAAAGGAAAACAATAACTTCATGAATGTCTTTATGCTGCGGTAATTAAGATAAAACAGTCAGATAAAAAAACAGGACGACTGTTTGCTCAGCACGTTCCAAGTCTTTCTATTCCTCTCTTTTTCTTGTTAAAGGAAGGTCTAATTTAAAATTTTCAACGACTTTAATATTTTAAATTATTCACTTATTAAACTTGTGCTAATAGCGACTTTTTTGACATGCTACTTATAAAGCGGGTCCGCCAAATAAGGCAAAGCTGAGGTTTGAAAATTTTTCAATCTCAAACTAGTCAATGAATCAGCTTCGGACTTTGCATACGTTTAGATTACTCGTTTAGCTATACGAAAAAAAAATCCTGAAAAATGAATTAAAAAAATAATTGTCCATTACAGAAATCGTGAGTGTTTTTCCTTTTATGCCAAGCAGGTAGTCACTGAAAAGAATCGTATACATTTCGGTTCAAAAATTTTCTGCTTGAAAATTTCGACTTTAGCAACGAAGAAATTAAACATCGAAAAGGATCTAGTACTTCCCAAACAAATCAAGAATGAGGATTTGGTAAGTCAGATTGTAACAAGTGACAAGACTGTTTTCAGGCATCTTAAGAAGCTTGGGTGAACAAAACACCTGGAAAATTTGTTGCTGTATGAAAAATTTACCTTGACGCATTCCAAACGTTCACTGAATGATAGCTTGTACAGCACAAACGGGCATTTTTGCGTCGGTGTGTCATATGTGATGAAAAATAGATATTGTATAGGTCGATTGGGTAAAGTTCAATGTATAATATACCAAACCAAGCGTTGGCTTAAATTTACAATGCTGATTCTAAAAACTGAAATAACTAAAAAATTAGAAACACACCTTGCAGCAAGGGCTTTGGCTGTTACCAGCCTGTCTTAAGTAACCTCAAAGCTCAAAACCTGTATATATGGACGCCGCATGAATTAACCTTGGCCCTTTCCCTCTTGTCGTCCTCTAATTTTACGAAAATAGTTCGATGTTCCCTTCACAATAAAAGAGTGTCAAATTTGCTCCATGCAACAGGTTGATGTTCCACCGACGTAATGACCTTGTGAACAATGGTCATTTCGTGCCATCCTGATTCATAGCTCAGGTGCAACCCAGTTCAAAACATTTACAATTAAAAATCTATTATTTACGACCTTTCTTATTCCTCACTTTAATTTTTTTTCGAGGGTTCGCAACAGCAGAGGTCATATAAACCCTCAGGGTGCCGGTGTTTTTGAAAAAAAAACAAAAAACATTTTTAAGTATGACGGGTTCGAATGCAGGGCCGCTGGATTCGAACCCGGGACCTTTACCTCACAGTGATGAGCGCCGTGTCAAAGACTAAACCGTTGTGGTTACCGTCGCCTTACTCACTTTAATTACTGTTTACTTGTGATGTCTGATATTACTGACCAATTATTGAATAAGATAATAATTTTCAATAAATGTTTATGTTGTGTTCTTGACCTTGCGTTCGATTCAAAAATGGAAGATAAATATGTTGAGTTGAACATTACGAATAAATGGCTTCCAAGGATACTTAAATTTGACCATTTTCAATAAGGTACTGAAAACGACCAAACCCATATATCGACAAAACAAATTCTTTTAATGAACCAATTATATATTGTATTAGAGAAGAACAAGGAAATATTGAGGGTAGGAAAAACTTCTGAAGCGTTTAATAAATTACCAGAAGAAATTATACAACTGGGAAAAATTCAAAGAAAACCTCAAATATAATTACTTCAAAAGTTATGATAAGTTACATTCATGTACTTACTTTAGTAGTAATTAGTCTGTTCATCACTTTTTTTACAACATTTATTTTCATTGTAATATTTTTTCTCTCAGATATTTTTTTGTTTTATTGTTTGTTTGTTTTTTATTATGTTTTAGTACACGTCCCGGTTGCAAATAATAATGTTAGTTATTACAGTGTAATTTACCTTACGTAAATGGATAATTTTTAATTTTATGAGCAGATTATTTAATGTATTTTATATTATAACATTTATATATAATTCAATTAATTCAACTTTTTAGTTGAGATAAAAATGTCAGTGTCACGAGCGGGATTCGAACCCACGACCTTCGGCTTGATAGCCGCTGCTCTAACCACTCGAGTGGCAGAGTAGCGGCGTATCAAGCAGAAGGTAGTGGGTTCGAATCCCGCTCGTGACACTGACTTTTTATCTCAACTAAAAATCTTAATTAATTGAATGATATTAATTGGTCAAGCGGACCACGGAAAATAGTTCATTTATATATAAATTAAACCCATGCTGGATACTCTCTCCCCTCTCTCTTTCTCTCTCCATCTATCTATCTATGTTCTCTCTCTCTCTCTCTCTCTCTCTCTCTCTCTATCTATCTATCTGTATATCTATCTACCGCTCTATCCACCCACCTATCCATCTATTTATCTATCTTCACCCTCTCTCCTCTCCTCTTTCTCTCTCTCTCTCTCTTCATTTTCTCTCTCTTTCTCTTTTCACTCTCCCTTTCTCTTTTCACTCTCTCTTTCTCTCTCCATCTATCTATATATGTAATCTATCTATCTGTTAAATTCACTAGTTTTCGTGGTCCGCTTAACCAATTAATATCATTCAAAATTAAGGATTTTAGTTGCGATAAAAAAGTCAGTGTCACGAGCGGGATTCGAACCCACGACCTTCGGCTTGATACGCCGCTGCTCTACCACTTGAGCTATCGTGACCTCGATCATATATATACATATATATATCTGTTTATTTATCTATCTAATTCACTCTGTAAACCGTATTGCTGTCACAAAATAGCAAGACTTATTTAACAAACAACAAATCTTCCTCAAGTCCTATTTCAGAAAGCAAACATAAAAGGTAAACGTCCGCTAGGTAGACTTTCAGTTTCAACGGGCATACAAAAATATTGGCGGCAAAAATTGAGACGATACGGTTCACTGCTAACTTACTAGTAACATTTTAGAAAATAAATAAGATGGAGCTTCATGGAACATTTTATCCTATGCTAAAAGAAAAAGGAAAAGGAACTCAAATACATTGATTGAAAATAAATGTTTATTTTATGGTTTATACACGCCAAAATCCGTTGGCGGAGGTTTTTCAGTATTAAAATGGACATAATATTCAGCCATGACTGGTTGATGAGTTGAACTGGTGTAACTATTAACCTTTTCGTACGCCAGAAGTTCGACTTTACGATTCGATTTATACAGAACTCTGTTCGTCCCTTGAGGTGGGCTTAGATTAGGTGTTGTAGTCCGTGTGGTGCCGGTCTGTTCGACCCATCCATCCGAGGGTAGTTTGCTCACGAAATCTTTTAGATCTCCGAGAATGAAATTGTAATTGTAATTACTGTTGGCGTCAATTTTTTCTTTCAAAGTTTGGTAATAGGTTGAGTCGTCCTCACTGCTTGGCACATGGCCATGGATGATGGTGAATTTCATTTCGCACCAAGCGAAACAAGAGTGCACCATGATAGACTTTGAATCCTTGGATGGTGTGTAAAGGTCCTTTCTTGTACCTGCAAATTTGCTGAAATGATCTTCGTGGCAAACAATGAAATGACCGATGTCTTGATGCTGAAGCGATCCGTACTAAAATGAAATTAAAAAAATTTAATTGTATTATTGTAACCTAAATCTATCTAATTTATTATTATGGATTATTTCTTAATAAAAAATTAACCGAAATTTTAGTTTTGCCTAAAACTGTTTTTCCATGTCTAGGAGAAAAATCTGGGGTATTGAAACAAGATAGTACAGGTGAAATATCGATATAACATTATATTTATTTTACAATTAATTAAGGATTTTAGTTGAGATGAAAAGGTTGAGAGGGAGTTAATGTCCGAGTGGATCGAGGTCACGATAGCTCAGGTGGTAGAGCAGCGGCGTATCTAGCCGAAGGTCGTGGGTTCGAATCCCTCTCGTGCCATTAACTTTTTTTCATCTCAACTAAAATCCTTAATTAATTGGTCAAGCGGACCACGAAATTAGTGAATTTAATAAATTATATTTATTAATCAAGTGGAAAAAAAAGTTTTCATTGTTTTAATACTTTATTAACTAATGGACTTATTTATATGGACAAAATTAAACGAAAACTTTACCAATCTGTAAAGCTTGCTTTTCAATGCGTCGTTTACTGCTGTTTTCCAATTGCCATTGAATTTTTCTCTCGTAATTCCCTGTATGGCGAGGAAGATCATGTCTGGATAAGTATTGCAGTCCGCTTTCTAAAATGATAATACATTTTTCGGTCATAAAAACAAAACTTTTCTCGGACTTACATCGATGCCGAGTAAGGCGGCGAGATTTGGGACCGGATCATTTAATCCGTCCAGGTTCCAAGTAGCAACACGTAGCCTAAAATCAAGAAAAACTCCATGGGCTAAATAAACATTAAATACAATTAGCAGTTCGTAAATACATATTTTGCCTTCGAAACTGCACTCTAACAGGCCTTTAACACAAATAAATCGCCAAATTCACATATCAAATTATTTAACATTAAAACATTGACATAGTCTAAGTTTTATAAATTTAATATTTTAATAATTTCTTACTTTACTCTATCCGAGGAAACGCCGAGTACGGCGAGGAAAGACAAAACTATATACACATTCATTGAAATACGGTCTCAAACTGCGCGCACAATTCTATACTATTCCATGACCAACTGTGAACACAAAAAACAACTGATTAAATGTCCAGTCAAAATAGCAAACGTGAAAATCTGGAATAATACGGAAGTGAAATTAAGGCACGATTAAACAATATCAAAATAGATATTCATAAATCGTGAGATGTGGTCTGGTGTGATGTAGGTTTCAGAAAAAGATTTTCTTTATCGTGCCAACGTTTCGATCTTTATTGAGATCATCTTCAGGGCCTGGGATTTACAAACATTGTTTACATTTAACAAATACATTTAGGATGTGGATAAGTGAATTTATACAATGCAAAATATATTTTTTTATATTCAATCAAAGTATTTCTACTCACTTTTCGTTTATAAATCCCAAGCCCTGAAGATGATCTCAATAAAGATCGAAACGTTGGCACGATAAAGAAAATGTTTTTCTGAAACCTGCATCACACCAGACCGCATCTCACGATTTCTGAATAATTATCGATTAACGGACACTAATCACCACATAAATATCAAAATACACATAAGTGTAAAGAAATAACTGAACAGACGGGGTTTATTTTTGAGCTGATGAAATACATTATATTACACACATATATATGTAAAAAACGAAAGCATAAGGGAAAGTGGCCATTATATATCCTAATGGCAGAGGATTTTAAATGTTTTTACAAAAATAACTAAAATTAGCCTAAAAAACTGTGGAGATCTATGCTCCTCTCTTTCTTTCACCCCTCTACCTATGTACTTCTAACTCTCTTCCTCCCCCTTCTCACCTCTCTCTCATTTTCACTCTATCTATCTACGTAACTCTTTCTCTCTCTCTCTCTCTCTCTCTCTCTCTCTCTCTCTCTCTCTCTACCTATTTCTCTCTCTCAAACTCTTACTAACTCTCCGTTCTGTTGTCTTTCTCTCTGTCCCTCTCTTACTCTCACCCTCACTCACTCTTTCTTTCTTTCACAACACAATCTTTAATGATAATTCTCTCTTCTTCTTTATAATTGTAACTATCTATCTACCTTTCATTCTCTCTTTCTCTCTGCCTCTCTCTCTCTCTCTCTCTCTCTCTCTCTCTCTCTCTCTCTCTCTCTCTCTATTTTTAACCATTACATTATCACACATTTACAAAATTAAAACATCATTTATAAAATAGTGTATACACAGATACTTTACAGTTACACATATTATACTGCCACAATTTAATTACTTATATCACAGAATTTGTAACTTAATTTTATATATTTTCATAAAAATAACAGATTGTAATTAGATATTTACAATAATATATATACATGCTTATACAATAAATTAATAAATTATATAAATAAATAAATAAATAATTTAGTAATAAATACACACATACTATAATAAATAAATACAATTTTACAAGTACAAAGTTTAATAAGTACAAATTTTATCCATGAAATTGTGACACATCTAATATATTTTCTTTTAGTGCAATTTGTAGATTACCTAATTATACATATCTTCGTGTGGATTTGGTAATCTATTTTCAGTTTTTATGCTAAACACATATTTTATAAATTCTCCTCTACCTATCAACTTTTCACTCTCCTCCTCCCCCTTTCTATCTCACCCTTTCTCTTTCTCTACCTATTTCCGTCTCTCAAACTCCCAAACCCTTACTAACTCTTTGTTCTGCTCTCTCTCTCTCTCTCTCTCTCTCTCTTTCCCTTTCTTTCACAACATAATCTTTTAATTATATTTCTCTCTCCCTGTTTATAAATGTAACTATGTACCTTCCACTCCCTTTTTCTTTCTGCCTATCTCTATCTCTCTCTCTCTCTCTCTTTCTCTCTCCCTCTCTCTCTCTCTCTGTCTGTCTCTGTTTCTTTCCTTTACCTATCTACTTCTCACTCTCTCCCTCCCTCCCTTTTTCTCGCTCTCTCCCTCTCTCTTTCTTTACCTATTTCTCTTTTTCAAACTCTCAAACTCTTACAAACTCTCTGTTTTGCTCTCTCTCTTTCTCTCTCCCTCTCCCTCCCCTTCTCTCTCTCTTGTTCTTTCTTTCTTTCACAACACAATCTTTCAATTATATTCCTCTTTCCACCTCTATCTGTTTCTCTCTCCCTCTCTCTCTTTCTCTTGCGCTCTCTCTTTTACTCTTTTACGACACAATCTTTCAATTATATTCCTCTTTCCACCTCTATCTGTTTCTCTCTCCCTCTCTCTCTTTCTCTTGCGCTCTCTCTTTTACTCTTTTACGACACAATCTTTCAATTATATTTCTCTTCCTCACACTCTTTCCCGCACACATTCTTTCTCTTGCTTTTCCTCTGCTCTCAATGAAACACTATCCTTTCTCTCCTTCCTCTGCGTACCCCCGTTTGTTTACTGTGCTTCCTATTGCGTATTTTCTTAACGTGATATAATAAGACAAGATCGATACATTTTCGGATTTAAAGAAAAACGTTCAAGCTGTGGGTAATGAACTAGAGAGGTATAATTCTTAAAATTTCTGTTCGATTTCGACGACGATGTGTCAAACAATTTTACTTTATAGCTTTATATTTTGTTCTAAACATTTTGAATATAATTTACTTTATTTGCTATACAGAAATGTATTATACCTATAGTTAAGTGTTGCAAAAAAAAAAAAAACGTAGGTTGCACAAAAGAATGATTATGGTATATCGTTTTTATTTCTTCTTATTTTAGAAGACATTCATTACTTTTTAAGGATGCGTTTCAGCATTTCCGCCATAATCATTGCTGGTTTTATCAAAATCAAAGACCTAACCATCCATAAAAAGGGTTTTGATTGTGATTAATAATCCCAATTTTATTCTTCTGGTCTTTTTTAATTAAAAAAAACCGTCCTCGTGCATAAGAAAATCTTTCGTCTGAAAGTCGCGACTCTTACGTCTATTCTGCATAAACCGCGCCTCGTATGAATTGAACGTGGACTGGTTTGTGCCTAGGACGGCCAAGTCTTTATATAGAGAGAAAACGGGCGTGCGCTCTGGGCCCGTCCTCGGCAACGATCCGTTATTTCGTCTGGTAATTCATGTCCAACATCCTTGGATCCGTGGCCCGGATTGGATCCGGCAGGACGTGGAAATGTCACGGAAATCGTCCGGGGGCCTTTCACACAAGGACAAATCCGCCCGAAGGACGTGATTGTAATTTACGATTATTTTCATCCGAACTTATTGAAGTCACGAGAACAAATAATCACTATTAATATTTATTATTAACTTTTTAGTTTTAAAATTGGCCAGATTTTCTTGTAGATCAACACTTTATGTATTGCCTCAGTTTTTCTCCAAACCCTATATTTTAAGTCAGAAGTAATCATCATATGACTAAGAGTGGCTTCTATTCACACAACTGCGTCAAAAACCCGACATACTGATAATTATATTATGTAAATATCTAAGACCTTGAATGTTCCACAAAACGGAGGAGTTTTAACATTTTAGCATTAGAGATGCAAGAAGCATGCCCTTCTACCTGACAGACAAGTTAACCTGCACGTTTCGTACTTTTCAACTGATAAGTAAGTGAATCAAAATCGATGTCATGGACTGGACTGGATTGTTTTCATTGTACCTCTCTTTCTCATACACACTTCACCTCTCCAACTTTCTTTTTTTTCGTGTAGAAATGTGTGGTGATTAGTGACCGTTAATCGATATTTATTTAGAAATCGTGAGATGCGGTCTGGTGTGATGTAGGTTTCAGAAAAACATTTTCTTTATCGTGCCAACGTTTCGATCTTTATTGAGATCATCTTCAGGGCCTTTTCACCTCAAAGAAGCCGACGCCTTACACAAAAATGTCTTTTCTGTACCGACATCCTTCCCCACCCCTTCAAAATCCAACGTAAACACAAAATATCAAAATCTCACTGGCACCCTCGACACAACACGCAAGAATGGCGCAATTATACAGAAGACAAACACTTTGAGTGAGTATAAATACATTGATTGAATATATTAAAAAAAATATATTTTGCATTGTATAAATTCACTTTTCCACATCCAACATGTAATTGTTATATGTAAACAATGTTTGTAAATCCCAGGCCCTGAAGATGATCTCAATAAAAGATCGAAACGTTGGCACGATAAAGAAAATGTTTTTCTGAAACCTACATCACACTCGACCGCATCTCACGATATCTGAATAACTATTGTTTAATTATGATGGTTAGGATAGTCATTGGGACGACTTGCTTTATATGGTTCTGGGGCGTGCTTGGGCATTACAATTATTAATTTCTTTCAGGGAACCTGTAGTGAGTGACATGGCAAAGAAAATTTTGCTTTATACAAACCTTATTTACAACAGAATATTTTACCATTTTAATTAAAAAAGCTTTTGACGAACCAGACGTTCTCTGCCTGTTTCTCATTCTCTCTCTCTCTCTCTCTCTCTCTCCTTTTCTTTCACAACACAATTTTTTAATCATATTTCTCTCTCTCTTCTCTCTTTATAAATGTAACTATCTACCTTCCACTCTCTTTTTCTTTCTGACTATCTCTCTCTCCTCTCTCTCTCTCACTCACTCATTCTCTATGTGTTTTTGTGGTGCCTTTCATATAAATGTCCATCTGGCTATTAATTATTCCTTTTTCCTTCTCCTCCTTTTTCTATTTACTCATACTTTCTCTATCTCTATCTTACTTTTAAAACAGTTAAATTTCAGCGCTTATTCCTTGAAAATGTTTGAGTCATAACTGAACATCGAGTAAGTATTTGTGGCGAATGGTGAAACATCTTTTTAAATATATGTTATATCTGGAGTACCGCTGGGTTTTGTCTTATGTCCTCTATTATTTTCCATTTATATCAGGGACATATCTGCTTCCATTATCTATTGTAATTTTCCATGTTCGATAATCACCTCCACACACAAGAAATATTAGTTTTCCACTTAAAAATCCTTTAACCTAAAGTAAACCATAAATTTATTGTAGTGATATAATTTCACGGCAGAATCTGAAAGGATGAAATAAAATCTTTAGGAAAAAAT